TACAAATTAATTTTTCTAATTCTCCTTTAGCTAAAAATGGGAATATGTGTAAATAATTACGTACAAATTAATAGCAGTACATACTATATCACGGTACAAAAGCACTGCAATACATTTACACCGGCTTTGCCGTTAATTTTTCAATTTCCTTCCCATAATCCCTCTTTGTAACAATTTCCAATCTAGCTTTTTTCCTAGCTGTTTCATCTAATAATTTGCGTGCATCTGATAATTCATGCTCGTACATCGATTTTATATTTGATGTTTCATGTGTAACATCTTCTTTAATTGAATGAATTTCAAGAACACGGTGTGCATTTTCAGTTTCTACCTACAGTTTCAAATTTCTAATATGATCAGTATAACAAACTGATTTTTAAACTTTCCAATTCAGCTTTTTTAGACATGAATGTCGTGTTGGACTTAGAGAACATTGTGGACGAACATTTTGCTTTCATTCCAAGAATCACGTGTCAAAGTTGAAGATTATTTACCTCTTGTTGGAATTTTTAATTTGAAAATTAAATTAAGATAACCTCAAAGCTCTGTTTCCAAACTTCAAAAATATTTTTTTTTTTGAAGTTTCAAAAAATGCTGTCAATGAAAGACGTCAATGAAGACATTAGTTAGTTTCAGAATTGCCAGAGAAAAATAATTTGTTGTAATATCAAGGATCAATATAATAATTTTAATAATAAGTGAAAGAGACCTGATTCCAGAGGATATATAAGGGAGCATGAGATAGCTTTTATACATGAAGCAAAATTTAACGATTAAATTTGACAACCATGAAATGTGATGAGGAATTCTGTTTCCATATTTCAAACTTAATTTGACTAAATATGCTGCCAAGTTAAATTTTTTTTATTCTTATCGAAGTATATCTATACATATATATGCCAAGCGAGTGATTTATTTGCAAAGGAAAAATGAGCGAAGAATAGATAATTTAAAATAGATAATTTAAATCAATGGAAAAATAATTTAAATCAAAGAAAAAATAAATAATTGAAAGTTAAATTAGTTTAATTGTCGTCAACTAATATTTGTTTTTGAGACATTTTTAATATAAATTTTTAGAAATTTTATATTTTAATTAATTATAAAAAATAATTTTAAATTACTAAACTTTACTAACAACAATAAACAGCTGATCACAGCGCACATAACGAGAAATATTTATTCACACAATCATACTATTTTATTTTTTTATTTCTGTCAAAAAAGTTTGATAAAAATACAACAAGACTATCTTTCTAGTTCATCCATCTTCTTGGGTGCATTAACCACGGCTGACAGGAACACAGGCCTTGGAGAGAGTGACAGTTCACAGCTAACGAACTTACACGTAAACTTATGGGATCTATAGAGGGCTCGTTTTAATATCATAAATCTCCTTCAAGATGCATCTACAACAGTATGCAAAAAATTTAGCTAAATTATTTTTGTTTACACAGTCTACAAATTCTGAAACTTCTAAAAATCATTCGATCGTTATATCCCAATATTTTTCGCCTCCCGATTCTCTGCAAAACAAAGAAGTTTTAACAAGATTTAAAAACTCAAAGAAAACTTACTTTAATAACCTTTCTAATGAAGTAACGACAAAATTTGAGCTAGAGGTCTGCCCTACATTCCTAACATTTCTTTATTACAGATTAAAACTTCCAAACGCACTTTATTTCAGCCAGTAATTTCCGAACGATCTATATTTTCAGTGTATATAGCGTGAATTTTCAAAAGTACTGCAAGCTTGAACTATTCTAGAACTGAATAAACGAAAATATCACAATATGTACATAGTTTTTGCTTTTTTGCAAAAACAATTGAATTTTCCTATCCCTTTAGCAATTACGGGGTTTTGTTGTCCAATAATTTATTGAAATACTGAAATTGTTTTTGTTTCGTTTTTTTCACGCTTCAATAAATATTAAACAATTAATATTTTTTACAATAGTTTTTATTTTTCCATTATATCACTATAAATGCTATAATATCCAATAAAGGAAAAAAATTGAGACAAGCTTGTCACACCGAATTTTTATTTGACAGATTTGACAGCTCATTCGTCTAATATTAAGGTGAGTTCACCCATCTTTTTTTTTATGCGAATATGATTTTCGATCAACTGGTTTTGATTTTTTGTAATGTCATAATATTATTTAATCTTTTAAGTGCATACATATTTTTAGGAACATTAAGCGCACATATGTACCAATTTTGTCCATGAATTTGCAAAAAAAGAGTTTAAATTTTTTATTTTTTAATATCTCTGGTTAATATAAACACTTACTATTTCTTATATTCTCAAATTTTTTGAATTCGCTCTTGAGATTTGAAAGGAAACTAATTACAAAATTGACAAACGATCTCATTTTTGCTTGCCAATTTTGCTGAACAAAATGTTGCCAAACAACATATGTGCGCTTAAAAGTTAAATACATTTCCAATTGGTAATACTTAAATATTAATGGCGACATAGCGGTTCAGTTCGGTTTATGTATGAATAAGAAGCTTGGTTATATTGTTAATATTAATCAAAACTTGGCATTTTTAATTTAAATAAGTAATTTATTTTTATTTTTCATTAAATTGTTTTTAAAATTTTAGCAGAATAGCGTTTTATAGAAAAAGAAATCCTCCAAATGTTCAAATGCAAATTTTCCTCCACCAAATATGCGAATACAAGCCACCATTTTACCTCCAAGAAGTAAAAGCCACCATTTTACCTCCATATGCTTCGAAACCATAGAGCCTTAACAGATTTTTATGAAACTAAATTTTGTTTTTTAGCATCCTTTAAAAATTTTAAATAAAAGCCTCACCACGAAATTTTATTTGAAAATATTAACGATTTTATTGATGTTAAAAAATACTAAAAATAATTTCAAACAAAAGATTTACATAGCTTATTTATTAGTCAAACAAATATGTACATTTGATTTATATATTTTGATATTGATGAATATATTTCAAATACAACATTAATACATAAAACTAAGAGAAAAAGAAAAGTCTCAAAGTTTTGATATTAGTTGCAGTTATCCGGGTAACCGTGTGATAAATTTTAAAAACGATTTTTTTAAATATTTATATCATAGTATGCTTTGAAAAATATTGTAATTTTGACAATTTTATTTCTTTTCAATTGAAGTTTGGAATCACACATTGATAATCATCTTTCATCTTTTTCACATCATTTCATAAAAAATAAAATAATAAAAAACAAATATGGAAAAAAAGTAAGTTAAAATAATTATTTTGTATTAAAATAATAAATGATTTTGTATTTTCTTGCAGTCTAGGAGCATTTAAAACAGCATTGTTGTTGAAAAAAGATACACCTGTAAGCCGATTTTACATAAAAAAGCTGATGTATAATCGAGTTGGTACTATGAAGGACCAACTAGAAGAGGATAAAAATAGATTAAACGCGTTACGGGAAGAAATTAAAATTTTGATGGGCATCTTGGACAATCAACATGAGGATTTTAACTTACTACAAGGTCTATTGCCAAGTATTTTTAAGGGTATAACCGACGTAGGAAATTCAGCGTTACATATAAGCCAAGTATGTGAATTTAAATTTTTCCAAATAAAAATAATTTTAGAAATCTTTGTGGGAATCCGATTAAAAAAATAAATACGCAGAAATTACTATTTTTTAACATTTTTTTAGTTCGCGTAATACTTCAAATCAAATTTACTGCAAATAAAGTACTAAAATAGAACTGAATTAGTCTCATTCTGGGTATATGTACACTAGATCTTCGATTAACGACAGCGATGCATTCCGGAAAACTACTCCGTAAGTCGAGTAGGTGTTAACGGGATTTTTAAAAAAGTACACATATACTAATGCATAAATATCATTTTATATACGAATATATACGAATCCATAAATAAATATTTTGCAAAAAATGTATACATATAAATGTAATATAAAAACTTTCATACGTTTTCATTTATTATGGCAAAAATTAATAGATATTGCAACCAATTAACAATATTGTAGCAACTAGTTTCGTCACATAAGATTGTATTTTTTATTTAAAAGAAAACGAATTGCCAAAACAATGCAACAAATAAACAAAGAAAGCCTGATCGTATTTCTTGCTCTTTTATTCGCCAAGTGAGAAGAAAGTGAAAAACTATTATATACCTATGTATTTCTATAATTTTATTTTCGACTTAGAAGAATTACTCCGTATTCAAGCAAAAATGTAATTCAATAAATAAAAAATCTTATATGAAATATTCATTAGGATCCAATGTATCTCTAAAAATGCCTTTCTTAAGGTGAGAACAAACAGCAAAATTTTAAAAGCTCTGCATCTAACATGTACATAAAGGTTTGAAAGCTTTGCAGTTCTAGAATTAAGAACTGCATTTTCTAAATATCCGACTTTCGTTCAAAATTGTTTCATTCAAATGCTTTTAATTTTGTAATATTTAAAAAACATTTTTTTTTTTGTTAAATTTATTCTTTCCTTTCTCAAGTACTCCTTATTTTTAATTTTCTATTATATATATAGTAGAGTTTTTTTTAATTTCATTACAATACATTTTGCTGATATTGTTTTGTGAGAATTTCAAAATTATAGATTTAAAATTTTAAATTAAAATTTCAAAAAAAAAAAAAGATTTTTTTTATTCATGTTATATTAAATTTTAGCATTTATCAATTTATACTGATACAAATTCAATTTTAAACATAAAAAAAAACTCAAAATTGCAGATATTAAAGAAATAAGAAATATAAATACGAATTTTTTTAACATAAAATGGATATATATATATATATATATATATATATATATATATATATATATATATATATATATAAATATATTTCTTATTATATTTATATATATAAATATATATAATGTAAATATATATCTGCGTACATATATATATATACATATATATATATATATACATATATATATATATATATACATATATATATATATATATATATACATATATATATAGGTACGTAGATACATACTCATGTACATAAATATTCTATTTTTTGTTTACATTCTGTTATAGGTTATTTTTTGTTTTTATTTGTAATTTTTTATATTCTTTTCAAATTTATTGTTTTTTGTTTCTTTTAAGATTTTATAAATTTTTAAATTTTTAATTCTTCCTCCCATTTCCCCCTTAATCATCAAAATCAGAAGATAAAAGGAAATTTGCTGCTAAATTTTCATTTTTATCGCAGGCAAAATATGCTTGCAATACTAAGTGTTCTTCAAAACCAAGAGCTTTAAGCTAAAAGAAAAAAAATGTATTGAAGAAAGCCATGAATTTCACAATATAATTATATACTCTTTCTATTGCTTCCCGATCTTGTGCTGTTATTTCAATAGCGGTTGTTATTTGTTCACCGTCACCACTTGCACCAGTTGAACGATTATGTTCACTACCGTTACCACCACCACTACTACTTAGTGAGCTTTGGTGATGATCACCACTACCAGTTCCACCTATACCACCGCCTGAAGCTAAACCCAATGCTGAAGCAGCTGCAGCAGCTTCAGTTTCGTTTCCTTGTGGTAAATCATCTTGGGCTTCATTTAACATATTAAGAAATGATTCTTGATTTTCAGATATTAATTGTAATAAGGCTGGATTAGTTTGACCAATCTAGAAAAAAGAAATAAGGAAAATCACTTTTTTCGATCAATTTGAATTAAAAATTTTCTACAATGATATTAAATATTTAAGTATACTTAAAATTTAGGTATAAATTTATATATTTTTACAAATAATACATAAATCGTGAATTGATATATTTTACATGAATATATAAAACTCATGAACTCTATAATTTTAAGTTTATGTTTATGTACATACATATAATCTTTTCCTAATCATAACTGCTATTTAATTTTTTTATTAATTCTTGAACATTATGTTCTAGAAAATTCTTACCTGTTGCAAAACAGCATTTAAAAATTCTGGATTTTGTTGTATAAGTGTTCGCATTTGCTGAAACTGTGGTTGATTTCTTAAAAATCCTAATGGATCGTCTGTTCCATCACCTGCACGTCTATCAATGCTTGATGTATTGTTACTATCACTCCCGCCGCCACCGTCACCTACGCCACCACCACCTCCACTTCCACCACCACTACTTTGTCTACTTGAATTTACATCTAATTCACTATCTGCAAATGTACCTTCTGGTATACCACTTATTAAATATTCTACAGCACGATCAGGATTATTAAAACTAGCACGTAATGCCTGTTCAACTAATTCCCGACAATAACCCATTTCCATTATTGATGAAACCATATTATTATATTCTTCACCCATAAGTAATGCACTTTCAGCAGCTAATCTTGTTGCTATTGCTCCACTATTTGTATTAGTTGTTGTCGAAGAAGATGATGTAGTCGTACCTGTTGCAGCAGCTGCTGTACCAGAATTATCAGTTGCTATTACTGATAATGTTGTTTCTGATGCTTTCACTACTGTTCCCTGATTGGAGTTTCCACTTTCAGTCGTTTTTTCTGTATTTTCATTTTTACTATTATTTTTATTTGATTCTAAAATTGTTATTGTAGTTGATGATGATGATGAAGTTGTTGAAGCTGCAATTCCTGTTTGTTGTTGTATATTTGTACTAAAATAAATCAAAAAGAAATATGATTAATTTAACTTAATGGTGAAAACTAAACTTGAATTTTATTCTTTTTAATTAGAAATATGTTTTACATGTTTATTTTTTCATCTTTATTTTTTTCATTTGTTGCACAAGTTGTACTAGTTGTGTTGTCAGTTGATGTTTTAAATGGTTGTTTAACCATAACAACAACAAATTTTTTTTCATCAATTTTATATGAATCAACAGTTCTTTCATCAAGTAATATCATACCTATAATTTTAGATAAAAAAAAATTCATATTAAGAATTTCATGTCTTTAGACAAGAATTTGAAAGAAAGTTTTTACCTGCATAAATTAATTTTTGATTATCAACAGGATAATCACTTCCTCGCTCAGAATGAATTTGCTCTTTTAGTTGTTTGACCTTTTTTTTATTTAAAATAAATAAACGGGAATTAGTTATTCTTTTTAATCATATTATAACAATAAATAACATAACTTAATTTTTTATGCAAATTTTTAAAATTTACCGTTTTTTGTGGATCAAACTCAATTGTAAAAGTTTGTTGTTGAAGATTTTTTACTGTAATTATCATATTTTATTTTATAGTTTCTATCGGTTTATCTATAAGGACAAAAAAAAAAAAAATATTGATTAAAAATAAATTATTTGATTAAAATTTTTAATTGCAAGAAATTAAAATAAATTGAAATGATTAAAGTCAAGTAAATGTAACTTTTTTACATTTGTATTGTATTGTACACAGTATAGATAGATCTTTTAGGTTTTTAGTGTTCCTATCTTTACGCATTTTATAATTTAATATTCCGAGAAATCATTCTCATTTTATAATGTTATGGTAGGTAGCATACCTTTGTATATTACAAAGGTATATTATACCTACATAATATATATTTTGAAGATAATATTTATATATCAAATAATATTTTGTTAATATAAGAACATTAATTACAATGTATTTCTCTTTTTATCTTCAATTATTATTCTTCTAATTATTTTATAATGAAATCTTATAAAATATTAAATTTACACAATATTAAAAATTTATATTTAAAATTTATGATAACAGCTTACTATCGAAATTTGAGGTAGGTGGGCTGGGGAACATTTAAGCACACTTTTTTATCATTTAAGAATAATCAATCAATGTGTTCCTGGTTCCGTTTTCAAAAATATGCACATTTAAATATTATTTTCGTAATAATAAAATGTGCAATTCAGTTCACATTTATTTAATTATTTAATTTGAAAATGGAAATTGCCTATCAAAATGATAGTAAGAGATACGTAGGTGGGTAGGCTCTTGCCTATTAAAATTAGATATGAAGGTACATAGAAAGATAGATACTTTGGTATAGAGGTAGATACCTTTTCTATACTGAATTTTCACAAAATTTTCCGGTATTTAAAAAATTTAAGCCCATCAAAATTTAATTAGAGATTTTTTAATTAAAAATATAATTCATGTGTACATTCGAAGGAGATAATACCTCGAATTAAAACTTGAAATCAACCAACCAAACTTAAGACAAAGGTCCTCCTATGTAGGATTTAGCACAATAATTCGTTTTATGTTTTCTATTTTTTTTTTTTTGATTTTTTATTTTTTTTCTTTTAAATTTATTTCATATTTGCAACTTTTAGTATAAAGAAACAAAAATTCACTTGTTTGTTCACTTATTGAAACAACGCAAAATATTAAATAAAGTGAAATTTTTATAAAACCTCTCGGGCAATAAAATCATTATTAAAAATCAAAATAAATAAAAGTTTTTAATGGCCCATTCTTGTTTTTGTTGTTTTTGACATGATAGCCATCAATTTCATGCTATGTCATTTTTTTTTTACAAATATGCCATCCGCTAAATTTTTTAGGTTAGGTTTAATTTTTACTTTTCTTTCAATTTTACGCTTTCTTTTTTTTGTTTCGAACTAAAACACCTAAGTTTAAAGGAAACACTATTTTCGTAAAATTTAAATACTAAAAGGAATTCCGAATTTTAACTAAAAATTTAAAAAAAAATTCTTTAATTACATTCTTTAACTAGATAACACTGAAGAATTATTACAGAAGACTTTCTTTGCTAATACATAAAAATAAAAAAAAAAAACAAGAAAATTAAAAATCCAAAAAAAATACCTTTTTAATTTAGAGAAAGAAAAGTAAAATCCTTTATGGCTTTTTAAATTTTTTTTAAAAAGAAAAAAAATTTCGTTTCTAAGTTAATTTTTCCTTTTTGTGTCATTCGACGACTTTGCAAAAAAAAAAAACCAAAAATCAAAAAAAGATTGCCAAAGACTCTCCAAAAAAAAAAAATGGAGATACCAACATGTTATTTTAATATTCTTTGTCTCCGATTTAAAAAACTTACTGCAATTTGTCATTTTATATGAGTACATCATGTATTTTTATTACTGCTTATTTTATTATTTTAAAAAATTAGAAGATAATTACTGTTGGGTTGGATAAGACTCATTTCTGTCCAATTTTCATTTGAACATGTTTACATTTAAAAATATTTGTAAAATTTCAAAATTTTTCAAAATCAAAATGAAATCGTCATTTTGCTTTATGTGCAAACGCTATACATATGCGTACATACATAATTATAATACCATGGATATTATTACATTATATTTAATATTAATAAAATTGTATTGTCGTATGTATATACATATAGTATTACTGCAATTTTGAAGTAGTTTTTTAAATAATATAAATAAAATAGTAAATTGCAATTTACAATACGTACATATAAGTATGTAGTATAATAAAATTGAACTAGAGTAAATTTAAGGACCAAGGGGAATATATATATATATATATATATACATATGTATAAACCAAAATTTAAAATACATAGTTATTTTGTACATATAAAAACATAAATATATGTACATTATATATTGTATATGCATTTTCCACTGTTTTCTAATATTTCAAAAATGAGAAGTCATGCCCTAAACTTCACAACACATACAATGTACATAATATGTATATATTTATTTGTACATATAACTATAAAATGTGGATTTTATATAGTTTTCGTTTTATTTGGAAATCTTTTGAAGTTTTGTTACATTTTGCTTTATAACATAAAAGAAAAAAAAGGTTTTAATTTTTTTTATTCTAAAAAAAAACACACATTTCAAACTTACAAGTAAAATTACACAAAAAAAAAAATAATAATAATAAAAAAGCTAGCGGCTTTTTTGTAGATTCACACGCACGCCACTACACAAGTTATTTATCCAAAATTTTATAAAAATGACATCGCGTTTTCTTTTGATTATTCGTTCTCTCTCTCTATCTTCTTATTTGTTATTTCTTCTCGTTCTATCTTCAATACTTAATATATACTTTGTTTAAAAAAATGTAAAAGTCATTTTAACAACAACAAAAAAAAAAACAAATAATATTTTTCGCTTTTGCTTTTTTAGAACTTTTTAATATTTTATAGAGATTTTTTTTTAATACAAGTAATTAAAAGTATATTCACAACAATGATTTGAAAAATTTATTTATATATAATTTTGATTTGAAAGAATAAAAGAGACAAGGAAAATATGAACTAGAAAAAAAAACATAAAAATTCCGGTCTGTAAAACGACAGATAATAAAAGTTCAACGTCAACGCAATACCTAAATCTAAATATTGAATCGCGATTAAGCTGGATTCACTGGTTCGTCGCTTTCGCGACAAGCTGATATATTTTGTGTCAAAATTTGAATTTTTGACATTCTCTTAATCTTTGTACAGCTGTTTTTCTCTCTCTCAAACAGTTGAATCAACTTCAACTTTAGTGCGGAGATTTTTTAAAACGTCAAATTTACATATACTGAACTATTACAGTTACATATAATTCTTGCCAAAAAAGTAATAAATGCATCATAAAAACAATTATATTTCTTATAAATGAAAATTTCCTTAATAAATTAAAATATTAGTTACATCCTACATAAATTAATATGACTGAATAATAATGTCAATGTAAAAATGTTAATGAAAATAAATGAAGTCTTCTTTTTTATTGAAAATTTTTTACTGCAACCTTAAAAAAATTTACTGTTTTAAATGATAATGCTAGTTAATTTTTATTTCAAGTTTATAATCGCATAAAGTTCTTAAATTTAAATATGTATATATTTACATTATAGTTGCCTGGGAATATAAAGATTTTTGATATATTATGTACATATGTACATATACAAGGATGAATTCTGACTTTGGGTTAATCTGTAAAGATTTTAGAAATTAATAAATTTTTTTTATTAAAAAATAAAATTTTAAATATTAAAAGAAAAAAAATTTTGTTTTCAGTGCCACACATGGATACATAATAATTTGGAAAAACATTTCCTAGAAAATGAATCAAAAATTAATAAAAAAGAATAAGATAAGGAAAATGAAACTCCTTGCAATTAACACTCAAAAATGAAGAGTTTATGTGAAGATTTTTTTAAATGCACTTCTTATAATTATATTTTAAATATTATTTAAATAACATTAATTTAAACACTTTAATTTTATTTAAACGACAACTCTGTGCTATAACATGTGATACAATTAGTAAATAAATTTTAAACTATTTTGACGTAAATTTTGACATACGATCAAAATGTGCACGTAGCAAAGGAACATACATTTTCCATATAACACATATATATATTTAGTTTTGCCTCGTTTTCACTGTTGTACAAGTTGGCAATTTGCATTTTTTTTTAATTAATATTGTTAATAATAACAAAATAAAAAAAAAATATTTACTAGAATATACTGATATATTTATAAGGTTTTTGGATTAATATAAAAATTGTAAAATTTGGGGAAAGCATTTTGACAAAATACAGTGGTGGAAGAAGAAGTTTTGTATAAAGATTCATAATGAGGTAGGTATATTATGTACATATATTTAATTAAAATTAAGATTTAAAATTTGAAATTTTTTATTAATATTTTAAGATATCTATTTATATATAAATTTTTTTTTCTAGTGAATCGAAAGTTTCATTTAAAATTACATTAACATCAGATCCAAAGCTACCATATAAAGTGTAAGTGATTGATTTTTTTTCTATGAATCAAGAAATGTTTCCAGGAAAGAAAGTTTTAGCTCTTAATTTATGAAGAAATGAAAAAAAAAGATGAAGAATTTTATTTATTATACAAATAATCTTGAGCAGATACTTTTTTGTAGCTTAATAAAGAACAATTATTAATTCAATTTAATTTAAAAAGCAAACTTCACCTACTGTATTTTATGTACAACTTACGCTTATTGTCTTAAAAATTATTTTCAATGTAAATCATTGTTGATAATAGAAAAAAATTGCGAAAATTGATGAATATCAACAATTCCAAATAAATAATTTTTATACTTAGTATTATAGTATCTATACTTTAATAAAACAAATTAAATTTAGTTATAAAAAAAAAAAAAAAAAATGGCTTTAAAATATTGTGATAATGATGCTTTAGTTATTTTAAAAGATTATATTAAAACAATTACAATTGATATAACAACACCAAAACATAAAGTAATTGAAATATTTGATAAATGTTTAATAATATTAGAAGAATATATATTTTCAAACATATATAGTAATACAATAATAATATTAAAAACACCTGAAGATTTTAAAATAATATTACATACATCATCAATATTGGAATTTTATTATAAAACATTTTCAAATCAAATTGATAATGATTTATATTTAAAATGGATTAATATGAATCGAAAATATTTATGGAATATATATTCAAAAAAATTTTTGATAACATCACCTTTGATATATTACACAAAGAAATTAATAAATTTTGATATAAATGGTAAATTTATATCAATAATTTGTGATCATATAAAATTATTTTTAAATGATAAAGATTATAATAATTTTGTAAATGAAATTTCTAATATTACATATAATAAATTAAATATCTTTTGTAATATATCATATAATAATAACATAATTAATAATAATCATAATATGTATGATAATATTTATGATAATTATGATTATATTTATGATGTTGATGATAATGTTGATGTTGTAAATGAAAATATTAAAATAAGTATTGAAGTAAATATATATTTAAAATACTTATTTCAATTAAACAATAATGATTTAATAAAAGGTATTGATAACTTATTAAAATATGAAATAAATGAATTTAATTTTAAACATATCGCATATATTTTAAAACAAAAACCAAATGATTTATTATATAATAAATGTTTATTATTACAAAACTATTTATATAATAAATTAAAAAAAAATGATATTCAAATAATATTCATTAATAAATTATATGAATTTATTATAATTTCAAATGATAATCTTAAAATATTTTATGATTCTTTAAGATGTTTAGAATTCTTTTATGGTTTGAAAACTTATATTATAAATTTCTTTAAAAATAATTCTATAAACGATACTTATAATGGTGATCTCTATATGCAATTACTTTATATATCATTTGTTTTAATTAATTATAAGTCACCGGTACGTTTGAGATTTATTAGCTATTTATATAAAAACTTTTCAAATGACAATAATACAATTCAAAAAATTTTTGATTGTAAATTTTTCTATGATATTTAAAAACAGAAAAACAAAATCTTTAACTTTAAAAATATGAAATTATAAAAATATTACATTTAAATTAAAATTTAATGTTAATTTATTTTGTACTTAATGAATTTGTAACAATTTTTCAACTTAATATGAAATGTCCGTGCATTTAAAAAAAACAATATACCTATTTTGTATATATATCGTATATATATGTTCACCTTTCATTCATTTATATGTTCACTTATTACATTTTTATAAAATTTGAACTTGAAATTAAATTAAACTGAAATTTGATATTAAATTTGAATTTTCTTTTTATTCATGTTTATATAAATATTAATGTTTTTTTTTTTTGAGATTTTCAATAGTTTTCTTCTTTTTTTTTGGTTCAGACTTGCTGTACCAGAAAATGCACCTTTTACTGCTGTTGTAAAATTTGTAGCTGAAGAATTTAAGGTTCCACCTGAAACCAGTGCAATAATAACTGATGATGGTATTGGTATAAATCCACAACAAACAGCTGGAAATGTATTTTTAAAACATGGAGCTGAATTAAGGTTAATACCAAGAGATCGAGTAGGAAAAATAAAATTAAAATAATTTCATATCTATATACATATATGCTTTTCTATTTTTCATTATATGTATTTATATATATGTATGTATATATAAATTTTTTTTTAAGTCAAAAATTTATTAAATGTTAAAAGAATTATTGGCATTATAATTAGTTCTTATAATAATCTCTTAGTTTACTAAATGTTATTATAAGAATTATTAAAACTTTTTTTTAATTAAAATTTTAAATGTTATATATTTAAAAGCATTAATTAAAAAAAAAGAATTCAAAATTATTAATAAAATTTTTACAAATGGAATTATTTGGTCAAAAAAAAATAAATTGTAAATAAATCAAAGACAAGATTTCTTTTAATTTGAAAAATAATTCTAATTTAAGTCTTAAACATCAATTTTTGAATCATTCAAAACATCTATTTTTTGAATCAAACAGATCTACAGAAAGATAGTTTAATTTTTCAAATTTTAAATATTTTTTATATTTTTCTATGTGATTTTTTTCAATTTTAGAATAATTTTGAGTATAATCTTTTTGTATAGTAAAAATTTATCGTGTAATAGATTGGAGATTGTAGATTTTAAAGACAAGAGGTTGGAAAGCTTATATATTATTTTCGTAGTCTCATTATACCTCTGATTTCAAAGTAATGGAGTATTTTGATAGATAATAATGTAAAAATTGCAATTCGTCAGCTGAAAAGTTTGTGTTCGGAAATTCGATTTTCAGGAGTTTTGAAGTCTCAGTTTTTTAATTTGGTTTTCAATCTTAATTATTGGTACTTTTAAAAATGCTTTTTCATTTCTAGATTATATATATGTATATGCATAAATACCATTACTTCAAAATTTTAACAAAATTATGTTCCACAATTTAAAAAAATAATAAACAATATAATCTTAATTGTATATTATTAATAAATTACTGTAATATTGAAGTCAGTGATATTTAAATATCGTAAAATTCATGCTAAATAATAAAGAATGTTGTAAACTTCTAAATAATAAGGAATAAGTGTTTTGGAAAACATTTCTCTTATAGGTTGGATTTTCGGTTGCAATGTAAAATGTACAAAAAAAAAGTGTACAGCAAAATTTTGGTATACACGGTGCAATTTAGATTTCGTCGGCTAGTTCTAATTTGCTCCATATGCCACCAACAGAAATTTGAAAAAGAAAGTTTGAACCTTAAAGAAAAAAATATGTTCGAACGATTTGCAGTTTGGATTATTAATTATTTATGTACAACGGAGTAATTTAATTTTTCAGTCTAGATTTTTCAAACTTAAATTTTTTTTGAACTTGGTCACAATGAACCATAATTAATATATAATTGCCATTGCTCTATATACAATGAACTTCTTAATACTAACGAGTTCTTCTCAAGCTTGTTAACAAGTTGGTATCTTTGTACATGAAGCAAATCATTTTGCATATAGAGCACATTAGAAGTGAAATTTAATTTCAGTAAAATTATATTGAAATTCTAAAGCGGTGAAGCAAATTATTTGAGAAATGTGAAAGAAAACTACGCATTTCGTCATTTTGAGAAAAAAAACTAAAAAAGCAAACAAGAAATTTAATTATCCATAGCGGCGAATTTTAGATATGCAGGTGAATTTTAAAACGGTAAATACAATGATCAGATAAAAAATATCGTAAGAAATTTTTATCATACTTTTTAATACATTTTGAATGCACTTGGAGCAAATAAAAATTTAACCTTTAAATTTTAAGTTTTACTCCATTTTCATAAAAAATATATAGATATGCTATATGCAATTTTAGGTATGTTTACTATATCTATGGAGTACATTAAAATTTGCAAGAAAAAGTCATACCTTTTTCATGTAAAATGTGTTTCATTGACAAAAAAATGGTTTATTGAGCAAATAAGCACAAAAAAATCTGTAAAACGGAGCAAAAACGGCACCGAATGTCTTATAAATTAAGGAAGATAGGGAAAAACGGTTTGCGTCACGTGAAAAAGCATCCGTCAAAATCTATGAAATCACTCTTAAGTCAAAATTTTCAAAAATGGCGTATGGAGCACATTGGAACTCAGCCGACGATTTTTCTTCTTGTATAATCTTATTTTAAATTTTTAATTTCACTAGCGCGATTTCAAAATTGTTTTTCCCTTCAAATTAGCGCTTTAAAAAGAAAAAAAGAAGAACGAAAGAGGAAAAATACCTAAATATTTTTAATAGTTCACCTTCAAAACCAGATTTTAGAGAAACAAGGTTTACTTAAAAACAAAATTAATTACTTTTTTTTTTATTCATTTCATCTCTCTTTTTTTTTATGATTTCCAATTTATATTTTCTATTTTTTTATTTCTACGTACATATATCTTTGAACTTTTTCATGTTTTACAAACTTACATACATATAGATATTTTTTTTATTATACCCGTACGAACGTATGTTCGAAGGGTATACTAAATTTGCCTTACCGTTTGCACTGCTAGGAAATAACGGTCTTAGATATAGACTCAAGTGCATGTTTTTGATCAGCTTCAAATTCTGAGTTGATTTACCTTTGTCTGTCCGTCCGTCCGTCCCAACGATAACTCAAAAACTAATTGAGCTAAGTTCACCAAATTTTCACAAATGATTTATTTTAGTAAGTGCCATAACCCTATTTAAATTGGATATGATCGGTTCAGGTAGCTGCCATACAACTTCAACATTTATTTGGCTATATCTCAGAAACTATAAAAGCTATGGTATTGAAATTTCACACATTATTAATATATTAGTAGGGCCGATGTGCTTGATAAAATTTGTTAATATTTCTTGGCTCTATCTGGTAGTTGTCAACTACCAGAAGAGCCAAGAAATATTATACAACTTCTATACATATTATATATAGAAATATTATCATACAACTTCAATAGTAGTTTGGCACACATAGTACTGAAATTTTGCATAAATTAATATGGTAATATGTCAACTTAAAGTCATAATCTGTCCCATAGTCAGTTATGGCATCTTTATTCGTATATAGGACAACAAATTCGTACGGGTATCACAGAGTTGACAAGGTCAACTCTATTTTTTCTCGTTTTTGAATATTTTTGAAAAAATTTTTATTGCAAATGTTGATCACAATAGAAGATCACCACTTTACTTTCATATTTTAATGATGTCGAAAATGAAAAAAAACAGAGGGAAATCAATAATGGTACAAGACAAAAAAAACCTTGGTTATATATTTTTATTGAACGAAAAAAAATATTAATGTTATTATAAAATTAAATTTTCCTTCTTGCTTATTTATCTTATAAATTTCCTTGACTTCATAATTGCAGTAATTAATATACAGAACTGATATACATAATTCATAGTTTATTAATATTTCACAGCTTTACGGGGTATTCCTGAAATGTAATATAATAATATTATATGCAATATACCAAAATTGTGTAGTAATAAGCGCGTCTACCAAAATAAAAATCTAATTAGTCAAATTGACCCTTAATCTGTATTTTGGTGGACGTCTATATAAGTAGAATTATAGTAGTTACAGTATTCAGAGGCATACTAAATTTTTTAATAAATTTTACATGACAAAACCAATTTTTGGAGGACTTTTTTTCTTTATTAATATTCATATTTTTTTATTTCATAAAAAATATGACCATTGTGTCCAAAATTGTGACCAAAATATGTCATATTTTTTATTTCATAAAAAATATGACCATTGCATTAAGATAATGGAATATGTTATATAGAATACAGTTAATAATATAATAAAATTGAAATATGAAATATTTTTTGTTCAGATAATTTGAAATTCAACGATTTGTGGTGTGTGTTAAGACTTAATATTACACGGTCTGCATTGATTTAAAATTAAATTTTTATATAAGAATTTTTAATTTAATTTTGGTATTTATGTATACACACAAATATATGTATGTATATTTCAGGTTATTAGTTTTAATTTACTGAATTTTTATTATATTATAATAAATATAATTCTTAATTAATAAGTTATTAATATTATAGACTGGAGGGACCTTTTCGGTACAGTATTATCGGGATTTACATATGTACATACATATTAAAATAATAATGTGTTTTAAAACTATAATTTTGTTTTGGAATAGGTTAATTCATTCGCACACTTAAATCATATATAAACTGTTTTTTTTTCGCAACAGAATTATCATATTTTTCGTTTTCATCCATAAATGTAATTATATACACATACCTATATATTTTTTAATATATAAAAGTTGAATATATTTTTGTTTTTCTTTTTTATTGTTCCATACTTTTGTGTTATACGAGTACCGGTTCGATTATTCCATCCATTATGTAAGTATCTAAAATTTCTTGTGGTATTATTGTAACTCTTTATACATACATTGCTATGTAACTCATATACATACATATATATGATGAAACTTTTTAAGTGTGTACTAAATTAATGATGCTGGATGATATGGAAAAAAATTGATATTTTAGATTTTGATCGAGATGTTGTGGTGTGTAACAAAAAAAAAAAGAGATAGGTATGCGTAATCAATAAAAAAAAATTAAATGTTACCAAAAAATATATGTATGTATTGAAAAATATATTAAAATATATTGTACTATGTGTTTGATTTTAATATTTAGAAATTATATGTATGATGCGGCTTTGCAGATTTATAGATTTGTGAAATCGAAGTGAAAATGCATGCACCGCGACCGCATATAAGATCCTATTGTGGCCCTCTCCTGCAGCACCCGTTCGAGACTCACCCTCCCGATAAGTTCAGGCAAAGCTACTTTTAAATTCAAATGCATATTCATATACATATGCACATTAATTTATAATAATATATATATACATATATATATATAATGATAAATTAATATGCTATCATTTATTATTATATAGATACATATATGTATATATATAGTAATATTTTTATTTATTTTTTGATATATTTTGTATATGTATATATACGAAAAACTACTCGTTACTTAAAAATATCACAGTAAAATTTTAATTGTTACATGTACATATATACAATTATATATAATTCATAAACTGGAATGATTTTGTACTGTACTCGTATTCATACCGTTATTAATTGAAATTTTTTCAATTATAGGGCCAGATATTTTTATAGTAGTTACAGTTGAATTATTTTATATTATTTTAATGTAACAAAGTTCAAATTTAAAAACGTATAATACATATACTGCACATACATAAATATATAATAAGCTCTAATTAAAAAAAGAAACATCTTTACATATTTTTCAACCAACCCGTGTACATGCATAATAGTAATTGAAAATAACAACAAGCTCTAATATTTAATTTATTATTATAACAAGAACATATCCATATATACACATATATATATAAATGAATAATTAAAACTAGGTTTAAATATTGCGAATTAGAATTATTCTATATATACATACATATATATAAATACATTTATTAGTATATTATTATGTATTATGCAATAATAATAGGAAACAAAACAAAAAAAAATTTTTTAATGCATTAATTATTCAAAATTATTTTCTAGTTGATTAAAATTAAATTTTATGGTATTATGAAATTGGTTCAACGTTTTAAGTTTATATAATTTTGCGAACAATATTTGTTAAACGGTATCTCATACAATTTACCTCTTATCAATTTACAGCAAAATATGTTATTTATATATATGTACATAAATAACACTGTTAGTGTAATATATATATATATGTATATGGTTGAAGGAAGCAGAGCGAGCAGTAGCAGTTTTCTACAGCTACATAGTATATGTATATCTTTACAAAAAAAAAGGAAAGAAAAAATTAATATATATTGTATATCGAAAGGAGACCGTTCGAATTACAATATATATAGAGGTCTTAGAGACCTATAGAGTAGAAGACTATCGTTATAATATGTACAAGACTTAACCATTGGATACAATGATGTAGAGGATTATGATTACAATATGTAAAAGTATAACTATATTGGACGCAATTATTTCAAAGATACTTGATAACTCTTTATTTTCATTTGCATTATTTGGATTATAAATGACTATAGATTTTCGAGGCAAAAAGCCTATCAAAATAAAGTATTGAGAATTTTGAAATTTTTTTTTCGAAAATTGCCGTTCTTTTGGGGTTTTTTCTTTTTTAAGTTTCGGACAAAATTTGAAGTTTTCAATTTCATACAATAATTTATATTCCTCAGTCTCTTATAGTTTTACCAGCTTAACATGTGTTTGTACATATAGTGCTCGGGTAATTAATATTTGAGTACATACGTATATGTTTTTTAGTTTCCCAAGACTTCGAATATTTCCGGCGATACGAGTTTGTATATATTCGGTACGTTACTGAAATCTTTGTCATTCTTCTGATTGTATTTAAAAAAAAAAACAAAAATTTTTTGGTGTTTTATTTTTTAGTTTTCCACATCTCGAAAAAATAAACTAATTAATTATATAATCACTTTCTATTTTATTTTAACATATGCATATACACATACATACATATATTAAATCTATTATAAATTTTTAGGAAAAAAAAAAAATTCTAAACCGGTTAATAATTATTCAAGTCGTAGTCATTTAAGTTGATACACCTTGTTGTCAAAACCTAAAATTTTTAAATGGAAATCAAATATTTATTTGAGATCACCTCCCCTCCCACCCCCATCGAGGAAAGATTTGTTTCATGAAATTGACCCATCTCTCTGCCCCCAAGAAATTATACACGTCACAGGTTCACCCTGTATAATATGTATATACATTTATAAAAATTTAAAACATTAGTATACGTACATACGTTTTAAACATTATACTAATTTTTTTCTACTGAATTTTTTTTGCTCTTAGGGTTAACTTAAAAAAAATAGCGAGAAAAAAACAAAAAATAAACTGAAAAAAAAAAATGCGGTGAACGATGATACGATCCCTTTCACTAATAAATCGTATACAATGAAATATGAAATTTTTATGTATATTTTATTTTGATTATGGTTATATATATGTACATTTGGATTCCATATTTAACTATATGTGAATAGCAATACCGCAGCATGTACTATAATACAGTAATATTTTACAATTCGACATTTAGAATGACAGTGATGTGGTGTTATTCAATAAACTATTTAGAAATTATAAATATCATATAAACTAAAATCATAAATTTGATAGTATTGCAATTTCCAGAATTCCAGTAATTATGTACATATGTATACATTTCTTCAAACGCTGGTAATTGATGCTAATAAAATACAGAATAGAATTTTGAAGTATAGAAAAATTGAGTCTTTCCCTGATAAATTTAAGAATTTTGATAAATTCATGCCAATTTACTTTCATACAATACTTTGTGTATTTTTAGCACTTTTCCAAAAAATTTTTGAAAAAAAGTGCTTATTAGTTTCACTCTGTATGTCCGTATGTCCGTCTTTAGACATGTTTGCAAAAAAATTAACTCGAAATTTGTAAAATTTGAATTTTTAACATCTTATATATCCGAAACCGTAAGCTTTATCAAATTTCTGGTAATTAAAAAATATAATTACTTTTCTTAACTCACACATTTAACCCTTATAATCTAGCATCATGCTAACACCTTTTTAAATTTATTTTTGTTTTATTTCAAAGATTGCATTAATCATCCATCCTAAATGTATGCAATCCTTGATATAGTTTCGTATATGAATGAAAGTAATAACGTAGTAGGTATATATAGATTGTTTTTAAAAGCAGTATTTTCACTTGTTGAAGGGAAAAGTGCTACATTGCAAAACATTGGTTTGACTCAACCTTTTTTTTTTGTATAATTTATTTTTTGGTATCTATGTAAGTCGTTATTTATTTAGGTAGATATGTATGTTTATACTGATATAGGTACACAAATTTTGTGTATGGACGTACTGTATTTATATTTATTTGATTTGTCAAAACCTTGTTGTGTAAATTGCGATGCACTAGCAATTTTTTGTTTTTATTTTTTTTTATTTCAAATCTAAGGTACTAAAATGATATTATATTTATGGATTTGTGTATTAATGGTAAATATGTGTACATATACATATTATATACGTACTTATGTTTATTGTTAAAAAATTGAAGTTATTTTATTTTTAATAAAACAGTAAAAAAAGAAAGACAAGAAAAAACAACAAAAAAAAAAAAATAGCTATTTAAGCAGTTTTTGTACTCGTTACAAAAAAAAATACGACGAGCTAATTGTGTCTAAGGTTAGTAAAAAACCAGAAATATTCGTACATAAGTATTTATATAGATATATGGTGATGTATGTACACCTTAAATTATAGGTGTATAGAGTTCAGGTATAAAACTTGATATTTTCAATGTACAATTGTTTTTTGTTTTTATTGTTCTCTTTTTTTTTGTTTTGCTTCTTTTACAGTTTTTTTTTTAGGTTTTCCTTCTTCTATAACACGAAAATATAGTTTCTTTTTGTTTTTTTTGTTTTGTTAACAATTTTTTTTAAATCATTTGGTATATTGAAGAGAAAAGAAGAAGTTGAGAGTGCAACGCGCATCCAAGAAATTTTTTTTATATTATAGCAAAGGAATATCAGCTCCATCTGTTGATTAGAATTGTTATTAAAAAAGACATTGTTGTTGTTATTCTATAATTAATATTTTTATTGCATTTTTAATATCAGAAATTGAAAACAAAAATTTTTTTATGAATAAAATCAATAAAAATTTTGATATTTAATTCGAAACAGAAATAATTATAATAAAAAAAAACTAAAATATTTGAAACAAACACTTAAAACCCTATACAGAGCTAAAATATAATAGAAAATTTAATTAATTCATAATAAAAATTTCAAATAATAATTAAAGTAAAAAAAAAAACACTTATTAATAATTGAAAAATAATACGAAAACTAATTAATATAAAATTAAATTAAATTAAAAAAAATGATTGGAACGATTGCAATTATTGCAGCTTTTATAACAGCATCTGGTATAATTATTAATCGTATTGGTTGGAGATGGTTTTATATTGCTGCAAAAACATCAAAACGTGATCTATTAGCATTGTTCGCTTATATACGTTTATTAATATTAGTACGTAAATATCTTAAAAATAATTTAACGATTTCAGATATATTTGAAATCAATTGTAAAAAAAATCCAAATAAAATTGCAGTAATACAAAGTGATAATACTGATATAAATAAAAAATTAACATTTAATGAATTAAATATATTTTCAAATAAAATAGCAAATATATTTTATAATAATAATTACAAAAATGGTGATGTTATTGCATTATTATTAGAAAATAGTCCAGAATTTATTGGTATATGGTTAGGTTTATCGAAAATTGGTTGTATTATACCATTAATAAATACAAATTTACGTAATAAATCATTATTACATAGTATTAAAATAGCAAAAAGTAAATGTATTATATATGGTGAAAATTTCAAACAATATATTAATGACATTAAAAATGATTTATATATGGAAAATATAAAATTATATCAATATGATAATAATAATAATGATATTAATAATATGATATTAAACATTAATATTAATGATAATGATGATAACAATGATAGTGATAATAATATAAATATAATAAATGATTATAATATTAATAATAATTATGATGATAATAAAATTGAAAATTTATTAAAATTATTATTAATAACAAAATCAAAAAAACAATTTAATACAATTAATATTGATAATAATGATAATGATAATGATAATAATGATAATGATAATAATATTGTAAAATTAAATCATAATAACAAATTATTATATATATATACATCTGGTACAACTGGTTTACCAAAAGCGGCTGTTATATCACATGCCCGTTATATATTTATATGTGCTGGTATACATTATACATTAAATATGAAAATTGATGATATTTTTTATACACCATTACCATTATATCATACAGCTGGTGGTATTATGAGCATTGGACAATCATTAATATTTGGTTCAACTGTTGTTATACGTAAAAAATTTTCAGCAACAAATTATTTTTCAGATTGTATTAAATATAATTGTACAGTATCACAATATATTGGTGAAATGTGCCGTTATTTATTATCAACAAATATTAATGATAATATTGATAAAAAACATAATATACGTTTAATGTTTGGTAATGGTTTAAGACCACAAATATGGAAAAATTTTGTTGAACGTTTTAATATTAAACAAATTGGTGAATTTTATGGTGCGACTGAAGGTAATGCAAATATATCAAATACTGATGGTAAAATTGGTGCTATCGGTTTTATATCGCGTATAATACCAACAATATATCCAATAACAATAATAAAATGTAATCAAGATACTGGTGAACCAATACGAAATAGTAATGGTTTATGTCAAATATGTAAACCAAATGAGCCTGGTGTTTTTATTGGTAAAATAATTCCTGGTAATCCATCAAGAGAATTTTTAGGTTATGTTGATCAAAAAGCATCTGAAAAAAAAATTGTATATAATGTATTTAAATATGGTGATTCAGCATTTATATCTGGTGATATATTAATTGCAGATGAATTTGGTTATTTATATTTTAAAGATCGTACTGGTGATACATTCCGTTGGAAAGGTGAAAATTGTTCAACAAGTGAAATTGAAGCTCAATTATCAAATATAACTGATTATCGTGATATTATTGTCTATGGTGTTGAAATCAAAAATATGGAAGGTAAAGCTGGAATGGCAGCAATATATGATCCACAAGAAAATTTAAATTTGTTAGAATTTTCAAATAATATTAAAGATATATTACCAGTATATGCAAGACCGCAATTTATAAGATTATTAACAAAAATTGATTTAACTGGTACATATAAATTAAAAAAAATTGATTTACAAAAAGATGGTTTCAATCCAAATATAATAAAAGATAAATTATATTATTTAGATAGTAACGGTACTTATAAATTATTAACAAATGATATTTATGAACAAATTCAAAATAACAAAATTCGATTTTAAAGTATGTAGAAAAGAATGTAAAAAAAAAAAAAAACAAAATAATTTATAAGTATCATTGACATCGAAATGCATTGGTACAGGAATTAATACTTAATTTAGCTAATGAATTGTAAATTACTGATTATATAATAGTGTGTTACTAAAATGTTGAAGTTAAAATTATTTTGTTCATTGTTTAAAATCTTTTTTTATTATTTCTATATTATAAAAAGTATAAAAAAAATATCTTGCCAAAATATTTTATGCAAAATTATTAAATAAAAAATTAAAATAAATTGTAAACATTATAAGTTAATTTTAATTATAAGATAAAAGCCGTGATCAGTGAACCGTAAAAATCACTGTAAATTTATTTTATTTAACAAGAATTATAAAATAAATTACGGTATCACTTTATCATTTTATTATTTTTCTGTTATAGCTTAAAAATCTGGCATTCCAGTTTCAAAAAAAAGTAAGATTTTGACATTAAAATTGCTGTCATATACCTTATTATTATACAATCCAGCATCTGTGACTAAAATGCAGTAAAACTGTACTACTACCATGGATCTAATAATACATGGATAGATAGCAAATAATAATTTTTGAAGTCAACATGATGTATGTTTCTTTTTTGTTTTTATTTTTTACAACATAAAATATTTTGGAAGAGACGGTTTAAAAATATGGTTAGGAAAAATGATAATATGTAGTTTGAAATTTATGTGAGTTATTTTTACAATAATTTTTTAACAATATATATAAACAATTACGTAAATTTGACGTAAAGGTATACTGTGTTATATGGAAGTGTAAATTATGTTGGCTTCATTTTTTTTTATAAAAAAATACATATATCAGCGTTAGCTATCAATGTATTATTAGATTCATGGCTGCCATTCAATTTAAAAATCCCTGAGATCAGAAATGTAATAAATTTAATGCAAAGTTCAGCTTATAAACGCCAATGTCTATCGGAACCGTATTATTAAAATTCTACTGTCAGGAAATATAACAATTTATAAGCTGATTTATATATTAATATAAATCTAATATAAATTGTTATATTTCCTATTATAGTAATATAATAATTATAGTAATAAAATATGTATTACTGTATTTCACCGGTATTCAATGTTTTGAAGTTAGAACATTTATTTGTGTATATGTATATAATAGTATATACAAATTAGTATATACACATATATTACAATTTCGGTATAATGTTGTATGACAGTATTTATGAGTAATAAGATTTTATGAGTTGAGTTTTTGTAAAATTGGTACCATTTGGAATTTGGTATTGATAAGCATATAATAATATAAAATTATTATTTACACAAAATTGTCATATTATCACATATTATTAATAAAATTTAGCTTATAATTTTAAATTCCTGAATTAGGTATACTAAAACTATATTAGGTGAGTTCATTTTTGCAACAAAAACGTTTTATGTATAAAATGTAGGTAATAAAATTGTTGACATTTTAAATACTCAACTGCATAAATTAGCTCAAATAAATTGCTATAAATTATTTTTTTTATTTCGGGTTATCGGGTATTTGTGCATTTAATAAATTTATTTTTTTACTGATTTGTATATACATACATACACGTATATGTATATATCGCATATCAAAGTTTAGATCTAACATCATACAGTTTTTGACTTATTCAGCAATACAATTTTAATTCCATAAGTCAAAACAAAACTGTACTATTGTGTTTGATGTACATATTTTTCGTAATTTGCATGTCATTCTTCAAAGAGTGGATCTGTATCTGGAAAGCAAAAAAAAGTACAACGAAATTTGTTGCAATGACATTTTTATTAGTTGTAAAATTTTAAAAATAAAATTGTATTCAGCTGATGAATTTCAATTACTGAATTGTGTAATGAGTACAGTATTACTGCAATTTAGAAATCAAGAGGACTATATTACGTAATTACGGAGAGAGTATACAAATTTCTCATTGGAAAACTTTTATTGTTGCCATTCCAACAAATGGAATTCGATTTTTTTATTTAAGAATTTTTTATTTTGGAAAATTTTTTATATTTAGTACAGTATATGGTTAAATTTTTAATTTTATGTAAAAATGTTATGTTATTTTTATTCTGTTCTTCCTTTTATATGTGTTATGCATATAAAATATATGTAATATAAGTCTTATTTATAATTTTTTTAATTACCTCAAGCCTATTTTGTTTTTTTGCCTCATCCATTTTTTTTTGGTAGAATTCACAATTGTATGGTTAATTAAGCCTCTTTTATTACTATATATAAAAAAATTTTAAAAATGGAAATTGGAAGTTTTATAAAATATGTTTTGACAAAAAAAAAATATAAGATAATTTAATAAAATTTGTGTTTTATTACCAAAGCTTTAAATATAGTTACTGATTTACTTTCTATAATTCCTACTTGCCTGGTGTTTACTTTGTCACAAAAATATTTAGTTTTACCCCTTAATTTTAATGAAAGTAATAGGCGATCGTAATGATAGCAAGCGAAAAAGTAAATTTTTGATCTACTTGCTACAATTCCTGCTTGCCTGGTATTTTGCTAGGAAAATAATTAATTTTTTGTTTCTTTTTACAATTTTAATTTTAATAAAAGTGGTAGGCGATCATGAATGTTAGCAGCCGAAAAAGTAAATTTCTGATCTACTTGCTACAATTCCTACTTGCCTGGTATTTTGTTAGGAAAATAATAAATTTTTTGCTCCATTTCACATTTTTAATCTTAATAAAAGTGGTAGGCGATCATGGATATTAGCAGCCGAAAAAGTAAATTTCTGATCTACTTGCTACAATTCCTGCTTGCCTGGTATTTTGCTAGGAAAATAATTAATTTTTTGTTTCTTTTTACAATTTTAATTTTAATAAAAGTGGTAGGCGATCATGGATATTAGCAGGCAAAAAAGTAAATTTCTGATCTAGTTGCTACAATTCCTGCTTTCCTGGTATTTCGTTAAGAAAATAATTAATTTCTTGCTCCTTTTTAAAATTTTAATTTTAACGGAAGTATTAGACGATCATAAATGATAGCAAGCGAGGAAGTAAATTCCTGACTTACTTGCTACAATTCCTGCTTGCCTGGTAGTTTGTTAGGAAAATAATTAATTTTTTGCTCCTTTTTACAATTTAAATTTTAATGAAAGTAATAGGCGATCATGAATGATAGCAAGCAAAAATATAAATTTCTGATCTACTTTCTACAATTCCTGCTCGCCGGGTATTTTATAAGAAAAATGTTTAATTTTTTGCTCCTTTTTACAATTTAAATTTTAATGAAAGTAATAGGCGATCATGAATGATAGCAAGCAAAAATGTAAATTTCTGATCTACTTTCTACAATTCCTGCTCGCCGGGTATTTTATAAGAAAAATGTTTAATTTTTTGCTCCTTTTTACAATTTAAATTTTAATGAAAGTAATAGGCGATCACGAATGATAGCAAGCAAAAATATAAATTTCTGATCTACTTTCTACAATTCCTGCTCGCCGGGTATTTTATAAGAAAAATGTTTAATTTTTTGCTCCTTTTTACAATTTAAATTTTAATGAAAGTAATAGGCGATCATGAATGATAGCAAGCAAAAATGTAAATTTCTGATCTACTTTCTACAATTCCTGCTCGCCGGGTATTTTATAAGAAAAATGTTTAATTTTTTGCTCCTTTTTACAATTTAAATTTTAATGAAAGTAATAGGCGATCATGAATGATAGCAAGCAAAAATGTAAATTTCTGATCTACTTTCTACAATTCCTGCTCGCCGGGTATTTTATTAGAAAAATGTTAAATTTTTGCTCCTTTTTACAATTTAAATTTTAATGAAAGTAATAGGCGATCATGAATGATAGCAAGCAAAAATGTAAATTTCTGATCTACTTTCTACAATTCCTGCTCGCCGGGTATTTTATAAGAACAATTTTTAATTTTTTGCTCCTTTTTACAATTTTAATTTTAATGAAAGTAACAGACGATCATGAATGATCTACTTTCTACAATTCCTGCTCGCCGGGTATTTTATAAGAAAAATGTTTAATTTTTTGCTCCTTTTTACAATTTAAATTTTAATGAAAGTAATAGGCGATCATGAATGATAGCAAGCAAAAATGTAAATTTCTGATCTACTTTCTACAATTCCTGCTCGCCGGGTATTTTATAAGAAAAATGTTTAATTTTTTGCTCCTTTTTACAATTTAAATTTTAATGAAAGTAATAGGCGATCATGAATGATAGCAAGCAAAAATGTAAATTTCTGATCTACTTTCTACAATTCCTGCTCGCCGGGTATTTTATAAGAAAAATTTTTAATTTTTTGCTCCTTTTTACAATTTTAATTTTAATGAAAGTAACAGGCGATCATGAATGATAGCAAGCAAAAATCTAAATTTCTGATCTACTTTCTACAATTCCTGCTCGCCGGGTATTTTATAAGAAAAATGTTTAATTTTTTGCTCCTTTTTACAATTTAAATTTTAATGAAAGTAATAGGTGATCATGAATGATAGCAAGCAGAAATGTAAGTTTCTGATCTACTTTCTACAATTCCTGCTCGCCGGGTATTTTATAAGAAAAATGTTTAATTTTTTGCTCCTTTTTACAATTTAAATTTTAATGAAAGTAATAGGCGATCATGAATGATAGCAAGCAAAAATGTAAATTTCTGATGTACTTTCTACAATTCCTGCTCGCCGGGTATTTTATAAGAAAAATGTTTAATTTTTTGCTCCTTTTTACAATTTAAATTTTAATGAAAGTAATAGGTGATCATGAATGATAGCAAGCAGAAATGTAAATTTCTGATCTACTTTCTACAATTCCTGCTCGCCGGGTATTTTATTAGAAAAATTTTTAATTTTTTGCTCCTTTTTACAATTTAAATTTTAATGAAAGTAATAGGCGATCATGAATGATAGCAAGCAAAAATGTAAATTTCTGATCTACTTTCTACAATTTCTGCTCGCCGGGTATTTTATTAGAAAAATTTTTAATTTTTTGCTCCTTTTTACAATTTAAATTTTAATGAAAGTAATAGGTGATCATGAATGATAGCAAGCAGAAATGTAAATTTCTGATCTACTTTCTACAATTCCTGCTCGCCGGGTATTTTATTAGAAAAATTTTTAATTTTTTGCTCCTTTTTACAATTTTAATTTTAATGAAAGTAACAGGCGATCATGAATGATAGCAAGCAAAAATGTAAATTTCTGATCTACTTTCTACAATTTCTGCTCGCCGGGTATTTTATTAGAAAAATTTTTAATTTTTTGCTCCTTTTTACAACTTAAATTTTAATGAAAGTAATAGGTGATCATGAATGATAGCAAGCAGAAATGTAAATTTCTGATCTACTTTCTACAATTCCTGCTCGCCGGGTATTTTATTAGAAAAATTTTTAATTTTTTGCTCCTTTTTACAATTTTAATTTTAATGAAAGTAATAGGCGATCATGAATGATAGCAAGCAAAAATCTAAATTTCTGATCTACTTTCTACAATTCCTGCTCGCCGGGTATTTTATAAGAAAAATGTTCAATTTTTTGCTCCTTTTTACAATTTAAATTTTAATGAAAGTAACAGGCGATCATGAATGATAGCAAGCAAAAATCTAAATTTCTGATCTACTTTCTACAATTCCTGCTCGCCGGGTATTTTATAAGAAAAATGTTTAATTTTTTGCTCCTTTTTACAATTTAAATTTTAATGAAAGTAATAGGTGATTATGAATGATAGCAAGCAGAAATGTAAATTTCTGATCTACTTTCTACAATTTCTGCTCGCCGGGTATTTTATTAGAAAAATTTTTAATTTTTTGCTCCTTTTTACAATTTAAATTTTAATGAAAGTAATAGGTGATCATGAATGATAGCAAGCAGAAATGTAAATTTCTGATCTACTTTCTACAATTCCTGCTCGCCGGGTATTTTATTAGAAAAATTTTTAATTTTTTGCTCCTTTTTACAATTTTAATTTTAATGAAAGTAACAGGCGATCATGAATGATAGCAAGCAAAAATCTAAATT